GGCATCTGCTTGTTGCTTACCTTATGGTCTGCTTGTCCGTTATGAGTGCACCCAGTCATTTTAACAGTTTTTTTTTTTTGTTTTTATATTATTTTTTTTATGGCTGGTTGCAGAAGAAGGATTCCACAACTACGGTGGGTATCTGCTTGTTACCTGCCTTATGGTCTAAGTCCTCATAACTATGGTGGCATCTGCTTGTCCGTTATGAGTGCACCCAGTCATGTTAACAATTTTTTTTGTTTTTATATTATTGTTTTCTTTTATGGCTGGTTGCAAAAGAAGGATTCCACAACTACGGTGGGTATCTGCTTGTTGCTTACCTTATGGTCTGCTTGTCCGTTATGAGTGCACCCAGTCATGTTAACACCTTCTGAATCAAATATACTAACTCTATGTGAACTATATATCAGGACATCGAGAATACTATACAGATGTTAATGCGTTTTGGTAGGAAGTTGAACTACATGAGGAACTGCATGTCGTTGAGGTTTTTTGATAACTTATTTTTCTGTTCTAGTTAATCAAATTTATGTCCACATTGACCGTATTATTCAATAACTGCAGGTAGAAGCTTCTAAATCAAAATCAAATAGCAATTGTTTACCCTATTATGTACCATTTTGTAGACTAATCCAAGAAGGCGCGCAAAAGACAAACCTGATTCTGAAGACATCAAAAGAATCAGTATGGAATCATAAATGCTATTTTGTTCACAAAAATGTCTTCTCATATTTTAACATTTACACAGATTAAGGTGACCCAAAGTCTATCTGCGTCTGCTTCCTCTGCAATTAGTAATGACAAATCACAAGATAGTATATATGATATAAACGAAAGCGTGGAGGGTAATGAGATCGTTGATGCTGAGACAACCAACGATGAATCCGAATCACCCGTCGAAGAAATTACTACAAAAAAAATATCTATGAAAATAAGATTCCAGATTCATTCCGTCTGTTAAAAGATGAACGCTTTCCTCTGTTAATTACCTTTGACAAGTTCTCAAAAATGCTTCACGGAACTTATGAAGTTGATGTTCAAAAACTGATTAAGCGACAAAAATCTGACATTGACAATGAAGAGGAAACCTACTTTTCATTTAACTCCTTTGATACGTTTAACCCACATTTTGTGGAATATCGAATCTTTACTATAAAGTATTCGCCTCGCTTGAGTGACTTTTATACACAGAAATTGGATTGTGAGCTAGTCTACTCTGAGTTTTCCTTATAAGAGTAAGTAACAATAATTAAATCTATAGTATAGTAATCTGTTGAGTCATAATCACCATTTTGCGATTTCATTTCCTCTTAATGCTAATAGTTCTATATTCCTCCCTTGATAAGAGTCGATTTCAGTATCTGTATCCTTAAGGAAAAAATCAAATCAGACTTCGTCTCCGGTAAGGCTTTTATCGTTAAAAAAAAGTTCATTTATTGTCGCGGAAACGGCTGATGCTGGAAATTAGGGACCCGATTTAAAATATAAACCCTGCCAAAATCCACCTATACTCTTTCATTATCAAAACCAACCCTAAATCCTAACCTAACGGTAAAAAAAAAAGATAAAAAATGCACTTCAAAATTTTTGAAAATTTTATATTAAAATATTTAAAATTTCCAGCTTCACCCGCGACAACTATTAAAAGGAATCCATTCGATTACATCTACGTATTTTGCAGCTTTAATTGAAATTCCTTAATGCACTCGTCGATATCCCTATTTCCACTTGTCCATCCTTGTATTGATTTTTGAGGGTCGCATGTTTGGCACCAAATGTAAGATGTGTTATATCGTTTGCAATTTGCACATGTCTCATTAGTTATATTTCTTTTATTATAAAATTCATCAAATACTAACATATACTCATTGTTTGCATTGTTTTGAGTTAGCCCATTTACTTTAAGATCACTATTCTTTAACTGTACATAATCTGTAATCTTATTTAAAACTCAAATATATATTAAAGTCATATATGTAGTGTAACAATGATAAATTATTAACATTTTAGCTTACTTCTTTTACATATTTGATAAACTTTGTGTTCTATTTATATTTATATTCACCATTTTCAATTTTATATTCATAATTTCGAATTCCATCTGACCAGGTTGTTAAAACTTTATCGACAATATTTTGAATATTATCCATTCGATTACACTAATAAGATGTAGCTTTAAGTTAAAATTCCTTAATGCACTTGTCGATATCTTTATTTCCACTTGTCTAGACATTGTACCCGGATAAGCACAATCGGGTAATACAACCGAATATTTGGGTAGATATATCCAAATAATATCCAGGTAATATATCCGATACGTCAATTGTATTTATTAATTGTATTATATTATTGTATTTTGTTAATATACTGTATAACGCACTATGTACAAATAAATTTACTTGTATTATCTGTGTATTAGCCAGCCAACATGCGCATATTTATTAATCAAATAATTTACATATCTAAGCTAGGATTTAGAACCGGGTTTATTTTTCATAAGTAAAACCGGGTTTAATCAGTTTTAATTTATGAAAAATGTAACTGGTTTCAAACTCTAATATTTAAATTCTTAGAATGAGTATTTGTAAATTTTGTGTACTGGTTAAAATAATCTTGAATTTATTTTTAACTAGTTTTCAACCTTTATATACATTAAGATTTTTAAATTCTAAAAATATGATTAAGGGTAGAGTAAAATGTAGATCATTTCTATATATAATTAGTTGCAAAAAAAATTTACTAATAAAATTTTTTTATTTTTTAATTAATTAATAAAAAAATTTTATAATATTATAAATAAAATTATTTATCTA